TGTGAACCCTACCTACCTTGTGGTGATACCGAGGATCAACGTCCCTGAGGCCCGGTCACTGACCAGGCATCCTGGTTGGTGGTCTGGTCAACCAGGCTGTTGGACACGGGTGCTCGCAGCCTGATGTATAAATTACAGCCTGGTTGATCAGGTATCCTTAGGAGGTGTTTATCAATTTCTCTCTTGAACACTGTGAGGGGTCGGCCAGTTATGCCCCTTATGTGTAGTGGGAGAATGTTGGGAAGTTTCTGGCCGTTGATGTTGATGAAGTCCCTCAGTGTACCTCTGAGCACGCTGAGGAGGCAAATGCACCTCTGCATTTCAGTTGGGCTGTTTTACACATCCTGCCATGCCTACTGGTTTCATGTGAGGTTATTCCTATGTGCAGATTCGGAACTAGTCCCTCTAATATTTTCCACATTACTACATATAAATTAGATACATATGTATTATAACATTTGTCCATAATACTACATATACATTAGATACAATAATATCTAATTTATCTCTCATGTCTGCACTCCAGAAAATGCAGATTTAGAACTTTTAATTGGTCCCAAAAACTTAGATGTTTTAGAGTGGATTCTAGCAGTAAAGGATCTTTACATGCTCTCCTGGTCAGCAATTTCCCCAGCTCTGAATGGGGCTGTTAGTGTGAAACAATATTCCATCCCTGGAGAGCACTAGAGTCTTGACATGTATCATCAGTAGTATGGCGTCCCTTCATTCAAAATTATTCAACTTTTCACTTTTCTTGCAGTCGTGCCAAATTACTGTATTCATTAAAGGTAATGTCTTCCAACATAACTCCCAGATCCTTCACATTACTCTTTCGTTCTATAATGTGATTTGCCAACGTTTTATATGTTTCCGTTTTTATATTTTAGCTTTTTCCGTACTGCAGGAGCTGAGGCATCTTCATTAAACATCATATAATTATCTGTGGATCACTGAAAGACCCAATTTACATCCAACTAGAAGTTTGCTATGTCCTCCATATTGTCTACTCGCATGATAATCCTAGTGTCATCTGCAAATGATGAAACAGTACTGTAGTTTGTATTCTTTTCTATGTCTGATATGAGGATGATAAAAAGTACCGGAGCAAGTACGGTACCTTGGGGTTACTTTGCGATGATTTCGGGGCTCAACATCCCCGCGGCCCGGTCCTCGACCAGACCTCCTGAGCTTTTCACAGTAGATGATCCGGATCTTGCTGTGTTGACTATTACACTTTGGATAGTGTTCATTAGGAAGTGAAAGATCCATCTCCCTACTTGTCAGTAATTCCTTTTGAGCACATTTTGTGGGCAATAACAACATGATCACATTTGTCAAAAGCTTTTGCAAAGTCTGTGTATATTACACCTGCATTTTGGCTCCCTCCCATGGCACCCGTGTGAACCCGTGTAATAAACCACGTGTCTTAAAATAGTGAAACCAGAAATAGTGAAACTCTGCATGGTATCGTGTCGATCATGCACGAAGGGTGGATTGTGTATGTTGAAACAAACACCACACATGTCAGCTTATATGTAACTAATTATGTAAAGAAGGCACCAAGCCGGGGAGACTATGTAACACCAGCAGTGTCACGGGATATTCAAAAAGCATTAAATATCACTGATGATGCCAGTACGAGAACAAAAGCACATATTGCGCACAATATCAAAGGTATCATATTCACCAAGGATTTTACCGAGGGTCAAAAGACCTCGATGGATATTAGGAAAGCAAGACATGATTGTCCTGAAAAACGGAACATTTTTGTATATATATATATATATATATATATATATATATATATATATATATATATATATATATATATATATATATATATATATATATATATATATATGTCATGGGTGTGTATGGCTAATATGTAACCTAGTCAATGCCATTTCCCACAGACTATTACGCTGGTAGGAGGAAGGCCAAGGGGATTAAAGTGTGCAGTTTGTTACCTGTAACCTCAGACCAACGACCCAGCCAGCAGTCTAGGATTGAGGAATGAATGACTGGGTAGAAATCTGAATAAGAAACACCATTTTGGATATGGGATAAATGCAGAGTGCCTCCTTAGTGACAGTGTCTGTACGTTCATTTAAGTTAAGACCAATATGGCGGGAAACCCAGCAAAACTCATCTGTCTAAAATCTGATGGAGATAAGAAACAGCCAGTGTTGAATTTCTACCACCGCAAGATGTGTAGGGTTAAATGACTCCAGAGGTCACGAGGGCACTGCGGGAGTCAACCACAATGATGAAGGAACGTTGACGTCGGGAAGGCAGGTGATCAAGACCGCATAAAGTTCTGCCATGAAGATGCTAGTCTCCGGAGGCGGGCAGCACATATATGTGTGTGGTCAGGAAACACAGCAGAGTAGCCTACACCGTCGGCAGACATAGACCCAGCAGTGAAGACGGAAATGGAGTGTGAGGGTGAAGAAGTGTGTTCAAGAAAAAGGCGTTTCATAACCGTAGGATGAGTAGAAGCCTTTACCATGTGGGTCAAGGTCTTGCAAAACTTTCCAAGTGGGACCCTCCAAGGGAGTGAAGAAGGAAAAAAACGAGGACATATTATATATATTGCTAACGTGAACCGAGAGGGAATCTTGCAAGTGAGACATACATGCAGAAAATGGAAAGTGGTGAAAGTAACAGGACCCACATGAGGGGTAACAGTCAAAACATGGTATAGGCGAGAGTGAGGAGGTTCCAGGGACAGCATGCAATAGCGAAGGCAGTAAGATCACGACGATCCTGTAGAGACAGGACTCCTGTTTCAGCATACACATACAGGCTTAGTGTTGGGGATGAAGGACAGGCACCAGCACTGAGGCGCTACCGGTGTAGTGCAGAGCATCAAGATAATGAAGAGTTGAAAGGAGAGGAGGAGTAGGAGAAGTAGGCGAGACAGCCATAATCAAGTTTAAACAGCACAAGAGAGGAGTGCTGATAGGAGTGTGCACATCGATCACCTCCCAAGGATATATGAGACAAGAATTGTAGTCAGATGAGAGCCTTAGAGCATTTATCACTGAGGTAAGATATCTAAGATGACCAAGACAAATGGGAGTCGAAGATCGACCCCTAACGTTTAGTAGAACCGTTATACAAAATAGGACTACCACAGAGTGAGAATGGTGGACGGAGAACGACTTGCTTCTGAGTATAAGTCATAGCACAAGTCTTGGTTGCAGAGAATCTGAAGCCATGATCGGTGGCTCAGGTTGACACGGCATCACTCACAAGTTGACGCTGTCGTTGGAAGAAATAAGCGTCATCACCCCGACAAGAGTGAGACTGAGACTACAAATGCAAGTTTTCAGGGCAATGAGATGAAAATCCTTAGGGAAAGTCCCTTGAGTACCGGGTTTCTAAATAGAAAAACAACCACCTAAAGCCAGTCCTCGGGGACTGACGACGTCTCCCAAATACGGATATAGATACTCAGCATATACTGAAAAGTGCACTGAGGGAGATGACGGAGCATCTCATAATGAACGCCGTCTAAGCCCGCCGCCATAGAACTGTAGTGTTTTGGCGCAGACTGGAGATCAAAAAGAAAGAAAAGGTCGTTATAGAGGAGCTGAAGGTGGGTGCTAAAGTCGGGATTTGATAAGGGGTTTACGAATAAGGAAAGTAGGAGGAAGATGAGTACCAGAACTAACTGTTGAAAAGTGCGAACCCAGTTTGTTTTTGGCCAACACCGTATCTGCCACAACAGAACCATGTAGGTGAAGGGCAGGCGAGATTCTGTAACAAATTTACCTGCAATCTTACGGATTCTCTTCATCAGGGAGAGGGGTGTCAGCTGTAATGGTGGTACAAGATTTTCCGGTTCTCATGCTTAACCATACAGATGGTCCTAGGAGCCACTACACTAGCTTTCTGAAACAAAATGATTGAATCGGGTATCTGTTGGCATCGGTGTCTTTTCCAGGCTGCACGCTTATAACACACAGCCCGAGCACAATCCAAATTCCACCAGGAAACGCACCTTCGCATGTCACAAGAGGAACAACGAGGAATATAGTGGAGGGCAGCGTCGAATATGTTATGGTGAAAAAGGAGGGCTTAAGGGAGTGGCAGGGCTTGAATCTATTCACTCACCATGCTACATAGAGAGTAGCATGATGACTGAATTGACTCCAATCAGCCTTTTCAACCCGCGACCAACGGAATGATAGATAAGGCCGGAAAGAAAAGGTTATGCCGATGAGGAAATGGTCACTGTTATAGAGGTCATCAAGAACCCTCCATGTCAGCTCTATATAAACAAAAGAGGAGCAGGAACGAAGACCAAGAGAGGAAAGGTGCGAGCGTCAACATGACTACGTTCTCCAGAATTCAGGAGAGATAACGAAGAGAGGACGAAAAGTTCCAAAAGGTAGCATCCTTGGGTGGCACTATTGTATGACACTTGTGTGGCACCACTGTGTGGCATCAGTATGTGGCACCATTGTGTGGCACCACTGTGTGGCACCATTGTGTGGCACCAGTGTGTGGCACCATTGTGACACCAGTGTGGCACCATTGTGTGGCACCACAGTGTGACACCATTGTGTGGCACCATTGTGTGGCACCAGTGTGTGGCACCACTGTGTGGCACCATTGTGTGGCACCAGTGTGTGGCACCACTGTGACACCAGTGTGGCACCATTGTGTGGCACCACAGTGTGGCACCATTGTGTGGCACCAGTGTGACACCACTGTGTGGCACCAGTGTGTGGCACCATTGTGTGGCACCAGTGTGACACCACTGTGTGGCACCAGTGTGACACCACTGTGTGGCACCAGTGTGGCACCACTGTGTGGCACCAGTGTGGCACCAGTGTGTGGCACCACTGTGTGGCCCCAGTGTGGCGCCACTGTGTGTGGCCCCAGTGTGTGGCACCACTGTGGGGCACCACCAGTGTGGCACCAGTGTATGGCACCATAACAGTAAAGACACAACATGCCAGGAGAGAGAGTGTGGGAGGTAAGGTACTCACAGCAGTGTAGACGCCACCGATGATGGAGCCCAGCAGGAGGCTGCAGCAGAGGCAGGATGACAGCAGCGCCATGGCGCCTGACCCGAGGATAACCTGACCCGCAGGAGGCGGCAGCTCTCGTCTGGCATGCTGACGGAGGCGCTCAAGTCTCCCGAGGTCACCCGCTCATCACACGGGCTTCTCGTTCCCTCCGACTGCAGCAGGAGAGAGGCAGCTCCTGGCCTGACACTTGTGGCCCAACCAACCTCTCGCACACAAAAATGTGTGTACAGTCTTGTGGTACAGTCAGCAGGTCTCAATCTTCAGCGCCGCCTACATGCTCTCCTGATATCAGTGTCTCGGGGGGCTCCTGAATACACACTTTTCCCCACACAACACTCCAGCGCCTCCACAACACACTCAGTATTCCTTGAACGCACTCAGACCTGAAAGCCAGCCGCGTCACCAGATATCTCACGTGATGTCCCTGAGAAAACGGAAGAGGGATGCTGCAAGAGCGTCCTGCGAGCACCTCCCACACACAGGTGTTGAGTATCACTGGCCAAGAGTGTTGGTCGACCAGACCTCAAGGTGCGCCTCGCGGTTGCCACCTACATAAATAAGACAGTATTTTCGCGCGGCCGTTATGTCCGTTAAAGCCGTTATCAACCGTCTTATTTCCTCTTTGTGTTAGTGAAGCCTTTTCCCGATGAAGACTGGCAAGGCTTTTATTTTAAAAGGTAACTGGGCTTCTTCTTACACCCCCCCCCCCCCCCCGCCTCCTCACTTCTCCTCGACTTCTCCTCTCCTTCCCTCCCTCCCTCACCCGACCTCGTTATTCAGAACACGCCAACAACCCCGTTAGCTCACCCAGGCTCAGCGCTGTTTGCTTGTCTATTGTTGCAGTTTCCTGGTCGGGCGCTGCCGTTGGCTCTCCAGTCAACGTACTTATAATATATATATTTGTCATCCATCTCATCAAACGAGACTTACCGATAACATACTACAACTACATCATTATACATACTCTACCCTGGAGGCCAGCTGTCAGGCCTTAGGGGCCTGACAGCTGAGTGGACAGCGCTTCGGATTCGTAGTTCTGAGGTTCCGGGTTCGATCCCCGGAACCCACTTGGGGACTGTCAGCCCCAAAGATCTCAGTGTATAGGCAAGACAACAACGTCTCTTTCTAGGCGATTAACAATGCACAAACAACAGAGCTCCATCAAGGAACATATAATCTCCTCTCACATCCAGACCATCACCAGAGAAATCTTAAGCAACACAGAAATCATCGATAGATATAGCGATAGTAGGAGACACGACATCATCGAGGCCCTACACATCAAAAAGCCAAAACTAGCAATCAACAGCCAATTAACACATAATTACATTCTACCTACTTCAAGACCCCAAACCAGCACAGAAGCAAGCAGATAAAATGTATACCCTGGTTATATACCCATTGTTTCATGTGCTGTTTTTTCCCACTGATTTGTATCCTGTCACCTCACCCAAAAACATTTGTATCCTGTCACCTCACCCAAAAACATTTGTATCCTGTCACCTCACCCAAAAACATTTGTATCCTGTCACCTCACCCAAAAACATTTGTATCCTGTCACCTCACCCAAAAACATTTGTATCCTGTCACCTCACCCAAATACATTTGTATCCTATCACCTCACCCAAAAACAAATATAAGCATGAAATGGAGTACATAAAAATTAGTCTTTGAAAATGTGCGAAGTCTTACGAAACGCTTTTAGGTATCAGACCATAAATAAAAATGTAAAAATTAACTTTGGAGAGTTAATTTTTCAATTACCCTCGACAGTGAAGAAAACGTAAGAAATATTGAGAAGATTCGTGTTAGAATTAATAATCTTACCTTTTCGGTCATATTCAACAACATATGTTTACAAGAAAGACTGCTACCAAAATATACTAATATGCAACAACGATCACAAAAACACTGATCCAAGTGTGTATAACAAGAAAAGGCGAAGGAAAGGAAACATAAGAAAGACGGTAACCGTAGAAGGCCTTTTATAAATAAATAAATAAATATAAATATGTTTATTCAGGTAAGGTACATACATACAAGTGATGTTACATTAATGGATTGATATATAGATAGAGCTAGTACATACAATGCCTAAAGCCACTATTTCGCAATGCGTTTCGGGCAAAATACAAAATTTGCCGATACGAGGCAGCTCCTCTTAATACCCATAACTGGAAGATATATAAAAGTGCCAAACAGGTTAACTGGATGCTATATTGTATTGACGTGCTACATTGAAGCTTATATGGGGATCCAACTTGTACATACCAGGGCTCACATTAACGATCAAACATTGTAACAACAGCTTTAATGTGAGCCCTGGTATGTACAAGTTGGATCTCCATATAAGCTTCAATATAGCACGTCGAGAGGAAGGAGGTAAGGGCAATAAATAGGCAAGAGAGAGGTGAGGAGAAGGAAATATTAGAGGAAAAAACAGCAAGGCAACAGGTACAGAAGGTAAGGTGTAATGAAGGGGGTAATAATAGGAATAAGAAAGGGATCGTAAGAGAAAACAGGAGAAAGAAAAAGAAAGAAAGATAAAAGCAAAGGTAAGCTTATGTTAGGTCACGTTTGTTAGAAAGTTTAGAACATTTGAGTTTATACTGTGAAAGGGAAGAGTCAATAGCAACAAAGCCAGGACTCAGGTTCATGTTGGGTACATTGTGTATCAGAGCGGATTCAACAAGACGGCGTCTGTGTAAAGTAGAGGCAGGAAAGATTATTTTGGATGAAGACCAATCAATAGGATGATTAGAATCCCTAACATGACACATGCATTGTTTGTGTTTGCAGACTTAACACTTCTTTTGTGTTCCTTAAGTCTGTCATTAAGTGTACCGCCAGTTTCGCCAAAGTATTGGAGAGGACAAGACGAACAGGAAATGGAGTAGACACCAGCAGCATTAGAAGCAGGAAGAGCAGTGTGAACTAAATTGCTACGAAGTGTGTTAGCTTGTCGAAAGGCGAGCTTAATGTCAAGAAGACGAAAGGTATTGGTAAAAGTTTTGAGTTCAGATATGAAGGGAAGGCATAGCACAGTGTTACCAGTGTTGGAAGAAGGTTTAGGATGAAAGAAATTACATTTAGCTTGAGAAGAAGCACAGTTGATAAAACGTAAAGGGTAACCAAGGCGAGAGTATGATTTGTAGATAAAGGAAATTAGAGAATCAAGAAACTGAGGGTCGCTGATGCGTATAGAGCGCGGAGGAAGAGAGAGACGAGGACACTTTTCTTAACAGAAGGAGGATGGTAGGAAAAGAAGAGAATGTACATGCCACTGTGCATAGGTCTGTGGTAGACAGAGAAAGAGAACCCGAACACAGAACTGTGAACGTCAAGAAAAGGAAGGAGGGAATCAGATCCCCATTCAGCTTTGAAATGCATGGAAGGCGCTAAATTGTTAATTAAGAGAGGAGAGGAAAGGCTGGAAAAGATTAAGGTCATGAGGCCATAAAGCAAAAATGTCATCAACATAGCGAAGCCAGAGAGAGGGACGAGTATCATTAAAAGGAAGAAGAACAGTTTTGAAGTATTCCATGTCGAGATTGGCAAGAACAGGGAAGAGAGGGGCAACCATAGCGACACCGAAAGTTTGAGAGAAGTATTTACCATTAAAAGAGAAAGAGTTAAAAGTCAACATAGAATCTAATGAGTTCGTGGAAAACGTCAGTGGGAAGCGGGAGAGGAAGAATGCCCTCAGTCGCCTTCTGTCTAAGGAAAGAGAGAACGTCAAGGGGAACGTTAGTAAACAGAGTCGACATTAAGACTAAACATCTTACTGGGGGGCTGCAGGTGCAGTCTTTCTATGAAGTCCTGAGAGTGACGAAGGTGGGCAGGAGAAAAAGTGCCAAGGTAAGGCGTCAGAGTATTAGCGAGGCAAGAGGATAGCCGACAGAGCCCCGTGAAGAAATGATAGGACGAAGAGGATCACCAGGTTTATGAGTCTTAGGTAGACCATAGAAATAAGGAAGAGAAGGGCAGATGACACGGAAACGTTTAATGAGATCGAAGTTAAGAGGACAAAGACTAGAGAGCTGTCTTAGTTTGCGGTTAAAGGAAGTTTTGAGGCGATCCAAAGGGTTAGATGTCAGAGGAGCATATGTGTGGGAGTCAGAGAGCAAGATATCTGCTTTCTGGAGGTAGTCCTCACGGTCAAGGACAACCACCGAACTGCCTTTGTCGGAAGGAAGGATAAGAATAGAGTTGTTAGATTTCAGGGAGGCAAGGGCAAGCTGGAAGCGACGAGGAAGGTGGTGATTTTTAGAAAACAAGCTGTCAAGAACGGGGATAAGGGCCCCTCTAAAGGCAGACAGGTCCGAAAGAGTACTGGAGTTAGAATTGACAAACTTGTCAAAGAAACTGACCTTACTACTTGGGCTGGACGGTAGAGCGACGGTCTCGCTTCATGCAGGTCGGAGTTCAATCCCCGACGGTTCAAATGGTTGGGCCACCATTCCTTTTCCCTCGTCCCATCCCAAATCCTTATCCTGACCCCCTTCCCAATGCTATATAGTCGTAATGGCTTGGCGCTTTCCCCTGATAGTTACCTTGTCAAAGAAACTAATGAGGTCAATGCCACAGCGAGGGCCAGGGGGGGGAGGGGGAAGTAGCAAAAGAAAGACCAGAGGTGGTATTAATAGGGTATTAATTTCATCAACACAAGACAGAACACGAAACAATCCAATACCCATTGTTTCGTGTTCTGTCTTGTGTTGATGAAATTAATACCCTATTAATACCACCTCTTGTTCTGTCTTGTGTTGATGAAATTAATACCCTATTAATGCCACCTCTTGTTCTGTCTTGTGTTAATGCCACATCACCCCTTCCACCTCACTCAAATGTAGATATAAAATCGGAGATGCGTAAGTTCTATTCAGTTGTGTATTTGTGAACTAAAGTCTTTGAAAATGTAATAAGTTTTACGAAACGCGCTCGTGTCGCGTCAGACTAGAAATAAAAATGAATTTTGGAGAATTGATTTTTGATTTACCTCCAACAGTGAAAAGAAATGTACGAAAGATTGAGAAAATTCGTGTTAGAATTATTAATCTTACTTTTTCGGTCATATTTAATATTCAATATATATATATATATATATATATATATATATATATATATATATATATATATATATATATATATATATATGGTACAAAAGTTTTGGGTGAGGTGAACAAACTTATGACAGACACAAGACAGAACACGAAACAATGGGTATAACTTGAATATGAGAACATAAGAATGAAAGTAACTGCAGAAGGCCTATTGGCCCATACTTTCTTTTGCTACTTCTTTGCTGGTTTGGGGTCTTGAAGTGGGTAGAATATAGTTGTGCATTAGTTGGCTGTTGATTGCTGGTGTTGACTTTTTGATGTGTAGTGCCTCGCTGATGTCGAGTCTCCTACTATCCCTGTATTTATCGATGATTTCTGTGTTGCTTGTTAAGATTTTTCTGGTGATGGTCTGGTTGTGAGAAGAGATTATAT